TACTATTTGTTATGAATAAGTAACAAATACAATAAGCAAACAAAAAACAAACAAAACAAACAAAAAACCTATTAACAATAAGTAACAAATACGAATCTTAATCACGACAGACTATACAGAAAGACCCCTCACTTTCATTAGAAAAGCCGGCAGCAATTCAAAGAGCGATGGAACAACTCAGCAAGTTACAGCACATCTCCAATTGTTCTGGTCTCAATGGGCAATGCTTATAAAGGCACTGAGCAGCCAGAGAGAAAAACGTAAGAAACAGCAGAAAAATAGGGCAGAACGTGAGTGGTATCTGCAAAAGCAACAAAAGAATATTAAAAGAACGCAGAAAAGCAAGTCAGTGTGATAGAAGGATTCACTTGTAAGCCTTTATGGAATCAGTGGAATGAAAGAGGCTTAAAACAGAATGAATTGAAGAGAAGCACCTGATCAAAATATCGAAGTAGTCTTATCGGAAAGCCTGTCAGAACAAATTAAGTACCACTGATCACAAATTATACACACATATACATACTTCAGAGCTACAGCCACATTAACATTTCCAATTCAGGCAGCTTTTGCGATTCTACAACTTCATTTCATTACTGTATACCTTGCGGATCCGGTGGTTGGCGGTTTTACCACTGGTGCTGCTTGCCATGTTTTCGCCTCACAAATGCCCAAGCTGATCGGCGTTCGGATACCAGCAAGACATGGTCCTCTGGGCCTTTTCAAAATACCATATGTAAGCACATTTGTCACCAAGTTTTTATGACTGACGACAGTTTCCTAAAAAAAGTTATGAAATAAAAAGAATGCGAAAACAGTCTGGGCAACTGGTTCAGGGATTCTAACTTTGTGATATTAGTGAGATATAAATCAAAATAAAACAGCCGGAACAACTGGTGCAGGAGATTCGATGTTAGTGATTTTGCTTGAGTATAGACCAAAGTAACCAAAACCGCGTGAACAAGCAGCACAAGTATCTCACGCTAGTGATGTTAAGTTTCAGTTTCTGTTCGATTTTGCGTTATCATTAAAACGAACAAACATGTATGTTCTAATCATGTCACTGATTTCCATAACCATACTAATGTCCGGAAAATATCTCATCAATCCACCAGTACAACAAAGGATACGGGTACCGATACCTTTCGAGTTGCTAGTGGTTAGTTTCCTACTTTGATAATTGGTCACTTATTGGGGGATGGTCCAGAAGACGAAAATTCAGTAAGAAAAAACATCAGTAGTACGTGGCATGGGGGCAAGCGCAATAGGATGTCCAAAAGAGCGTTTTTTCGCCACGTGGCCACATTCCTAGTGGAAAATCAGAAATGCCATTTTAAACAGAGCAGCAATTAGAATTAGGCAATATCACTTCATCATTTTTATATTAACCAAAGTCAAAATTCATTTCGTGTCGCAGAAGTCTTTTGAAAAGCCGGCAATTGTTGAAAAAGGTGAACTTTGCACAGAAAGCAGCAACCAGACAATATGAAGCGCGTAGTGGGGATGCTATACCAACAGATTATAACTGCTCCAGCAGGTGGGCGAAGCATAAGGGCCGATGGCGCCGTGGTTGGACACGGTGTCCGGATGTGAAGACGAATGAGTTGATTCGCTTACGGTCCATAACCATTTTCAAAAAGGGGCCCTGCTCACGAAACGCCGTGTTCACTTTCTGCGAGAAGTCGAAACTCTCGAAACTAGTCCAAGTGATGGCTCATTCGACAGAAGCCATACGCTGACAAAGCTATCGATAAATTACACTTCTTGTACCTGCTATGTTGCACTTTTTCAGTTAGAATATGAGGAATTTTTTACCTCATTAATGCTGGTGACAGTTTACTGCTTTGTTAAATCTCACTATGTCGCAAATGAAATTTTTAGAATAACTGCCATTGTCTTTTCAGATGATTGTTAGCATAATCGTAGTGTACAGTCTCAAATTGAATGTGAAGCATCAAGTTGCCATTGTTGGATTTATTCCACGCAGGTGCTTTTTTCCCCAAATACTCAGGAACATCAGGATTGCCCGGACATTCGGTCTGGGTATTCCATTTTGGTAATGTTATTGAAATGCACTCACAAGCTGGGCGCATTTTTGCTGGGCTCTTTGATCCTGAGCTTTATACCTGCACCCACCGCCTGATCCAAGCTTGCACACGATCTCTCATATTAATGAATTAAATATTTATTCGTTTAGCCCGCAAATAACTATGATGGAACGATCGAGATCCATTAAGTCGTTTCATTATAAAAATTATTTGCTGTTATGTTTGTGCAGATCGGATGCGAAACCCTTCGGTCCGCGATTTTGAGCTTCACACCTTCAGTTAGAACCACTGCTTCTTTGTGTCGCGGAATACCCACGAAAAACCGGCCACGAAGTCGTCACAAAAAAAAGGTGGAAACGGCTTACGAGAAACACAGAAAAAAGAAAGGTGTATTTTGCATTGAAAAGCAGTCGCACAGTAACGCTGCACTACCATGCTCGAACCTGAAGCACAAGGGCCGGTGGTATAGTGGTAACACCGTGTGTTTGGATGCGAAGAGAATGGTTCGATTCCCAGCCGATCCAAAAAAATTCTCGAAAAAGGACTCCGTTCGCGACACTTTGATGTATATGCACCACCTTTTCTGAATTATTCGAGTGGTCATTTATTTTATTGCTGATGCTACAGAGTATTCCCTTTCTTCAATGAAGCAAATCCCTCGTTACCTCCCGGTTCTGTGGCTTATGTCTCTTGTTCGCTTAGAAGAATTTGTTTCTGATAAACTGGAAAAAAAAACATACTTTTTGAGATTGCCGATACCAGCATTACCCGATTTTCGACATTT